ATGCTTTTTGTTGTTACAAGCAATGTCTTTTCCTGCTGTTGTGTTTAGATTATGGCGCATCGTTTGCTGAACAAGAAAGCGAGATAACATACACCTACCCTACCCCTGAGAATGTCCCCGGCGTAGACATAGTTCTTGGTTTCAAAGCGAATTCCAAAGACAAATGCGGAGGGGACTTACTTAAGATCACCAGTAAGGGCACTCAAGATTTCTTTCTGTTTTCAATCAACTCGAAAAAGAATCTCGTGTTTTCCTTCAAATCCACGTTGGGTGATGGTGAATATGAGATAAGCCCCTCCAAAAACGATGACTTCTGTGATGGAAATAGACACACGTTTTCATTTGTTCGCCGAAACGAGAAACTTAATTTCACCGTTGATGGAAAGGACACACAAGAGGAAAAAAATGACCGGTTAAAAAACCCTTTCTCCCGTATGGAGAAGATTATCGTTGGAAAGCAAGGTGATACTGGTTTTAAGGGCTGCCTCACGGGTGTCAAAGTGACACCGTTTAGTTTTGACAAGTCGCATCCAACAATAAGTCCCATCAAGGATTATGTTTACGATGGGAAAACCAAGAATTACAAGGCCTCTGGTATCAGTGGAGATAGTAAAGAGAAGTGTGGCGAGGAGCCGGAGGTGCCTGAAAACCCACCCACCCCGCGAGATCCGGGCAGTTCCGGTGGCTCTGTCCAGTCAACAAATCCTTATGACCCGACTTCTGGAAGACGTACTGATGATGACAACAAGACAGCCATCATAGTGATCGTAGTGCTCATCTTGGTGCTGCTGTTGGTGGTTTTATTGATTGTTATATACTGGTACTGGGCAAGACATAAGGGGGAGTATCACACGCACGAAGACGACGAAGAGCTCAAAAGCACGGATCCGTACATTGACATGACCACCACCCGGAAACCCATGGAGGAGGACGTGGAGAAGAAGAAAGAGTGGTTCATCTAAAGGTGATCTACATTGTTTAGACGAGTTTCTATTTCAGTCTACAGCAATCATTCATGTCTTTAGTCGGCCGTGGAGCGCTGAAGAATCGTGCCAATCAGTGCTGTGCATGACTGATCTTTTAGCTAAGTAAACCATTTCTAATTTCCATGTAAATCACGCTAGATTTCATCAGTTCATAGATGATCTTCTCCCTTAACGTGAGATAAACTCGCACGAGGGGTTTTGTATTTGGTACTCCGTGAACACCACTCGCATACTTTGCGTGTGGCCTAGAATTAATGGAAACTGAACTACTTAAATCGAAGATTTTTTTTACAGCATGAAGTGAAAGTTGTTGTTTGTTTTCGAGGCGAGTTGATGAGCATAATCTGTTTTATTGGCAGTATATTTTATTGAATCATAAAACTTGATGTATTAAATTTTTAGGTGTTATGTGCCATATGCAATTGTCTAGCATAGAGAAAGCTAATGTAACTTCCAGCCTTTACCTTTCTGGGTGACATTATTCCATCGAGACACCATAATGTAAAAGAGTTTGTACCCAAGGCATTCGCGGTTTTGGAGTAGTTTGTCCAATTTCCGGCTCAGCGCTCAGGCAGAAAACCACTTTGCATTGCATCATTATAAATTTACGATTTTTTTCGGGAGACTTAAAATTTTCAAAATGGACTCGCGCTTGAGCAAATTGTCGCTCCAAAAGAGTAGTGTAAGAAATGTGTGATTGATCGAGCTTTTATCGGTTTCATTTAATCGAAGTATGTTTCTGTTGATTTTGCTTGAGTTTTTTTTAGCCTTTACTTTTGGAGTAATAAAACCAGGCTTCTTTACTTGGCATCAAAATTAAATCAAACTTTTCAGAATGAGGCGTTTCAACGCTTAATATGGAATTCAAGGTTTTGCGCGTTTTTTTTTCAAAGTTTGACGTATGCAAGTATTTATCAGGTATCGAGGTAAAAATTTTCTTAAGTTGTCTTCGTACAATATCATATGGAATTAAATACAAATTTTAAAACTCTTCACCTCGGTGAATAGATACTTTTCTTTGTAAACTTGCCAGTATAAGGAAATTTAGGGTTCCAATCTATGTAGATTGAATGTATATGTAAAGACTCTTCGAATTTTCGAATCAGCAAGTACTAAATGTAGTTTAATAGAAGCTCAAGTAGATCTGTAATTTTAGGGAATTGTTGTGCTAAGGCCAAAGCAAGGGCTCCGTGTTTGCGCTTTACCAGTTGGTCGAATTCAGCACGAACTGGAGTTGCCCTTAGATGATTTTCGAAAAACTATCGCTGATGATCAACCGTATTTTTTCGAACATCGTCTGTTGTTAACTCTGTCACAAATTTGAGGACAATTTCCTAGAGGGACTGTTGCAGAGATCTCGTCGAAGGTTGTTTTTGCAGAGGGAAAAGATTAACTGCTCTATGTGGGAGAAATATTTTCATAATTTGTACCTTTTTATCGTTAATTACCAACCTAAGTTTATGGGGTACGAAAGAGACCCTTGGGGGACCAATAGAGTGCTTAAATCCTGTGCGATCTCAGTTTGAAGTAATTAGCGCTGTCCTCTGACTTGGTTTCTTGTGGTGGGTTCACGGACAGACTTGTTTTGGTCTTAAAGTGGAAGTCTTTTTTTTTTTTTTACCTCTAATCAGCTGCAAATCGCAAATAAAGCTTTTAAACAAAAATAGGCTTTGATTTGAGCGTTTGCATTTTTGTCTGCCGGTTTCTCCATGCCCATAGCCGTCACTTCGAGAGATTTTTGTCCCATAATTCCCCTTTCTGTTGTTGAATGTCTGGGAAATGACAGTTGTAGATTGAGTAGCACCACATTTAATGGCCAGGGAAGCAGACAGAAAGCGAAAAGAATCCCCATTCCATTTGTATTAGAGTCCTCACCTTAACAGATTTTTACCTTTAATCACTTATAACCAGTCACACAGCTCCCCGCGGTAAAGTAACGTGATTGGAAAGAGTGCTGGTTTTCGTACCGTGCACGTTGTACGGGCCCAAGTTGTTTTAGGGGTTGATAACATTGCCCAACGGATAAATCGCTATCCGGCGGACGAATTAAAATGTTAACAAAACGTACTGCGTCATCCACCCTTTGAACAACCAGGGCCAGAAAGCTTGGCTATTCACTAAATCATCCACGAAGTTTATGAGAGTAACGGTACCGTCTCGCGTTTTCCCGCCGAAGACGGCCATTCCGTCCCAGAACGCAAACGGTCCCACAAGTCGTCATCCACGTTTTCGTCCTCATTGCTAAGGGTCCCTATCAAAGGGAAAGATTGACGCTTTGAAACTTACGGCCCTTTAGAGATTGACTTCTCAAAAATTAATTTCCCTACTGGGTGGTAATGTGGGAAAATGATTTTTCTTTCCAATTTTCCCTGGAAGAAATTCATTAGCAAAAAGCGGATGTAACAAATACTTCAGGATTCTAGAATTTAACTTCTGGCAGAGAACTTTGAAATGGTAATGTAGTGTTAATTTCGGAATTTCAAGGAATTTCACTATCGAACCAGGGCAATAAAAACTTGAGTGGTGTAGATTTCAAACACAAAGTACGAAAGTAGAACAATCTTCCTCGTTGGTCTGAGGGTATTTTTTGCCAGCTCCATCTGTGGCGAAATTGTTTACTTGCTCTGCCATCTAGAAATCGATAAATAAATGCACACATGGATGTAATTTCATTTAACATAAACATAACAGCAGACGATATGATACAATACAATTATATAAAATATAATACTTGTGATATAAATTATCACATAATGTAATACAATCGAATGTAGCTTCGTACAATATAATTAATTATCATATACCATGATGCAGCGTAATGTTCCACCATACGATGAATAGCACGGATGTGATATCATATGACATAGAGTGATGTGATATTATATAGCGCAGTATGATATTTTTAAATACAATATGACAATATAGTAGTTAAATTATAATATCATAAATATAAAGTAATTTTCAAAGAATTTTATCTTGATGAAACCTCAGCTCAGTAGTTTCGAAGAAAGATGGCATTGCGAAGAGTCGAATGATAACATTATTTAAACTAAAAGTAATCCATTGATTTGAAATCTTAGCTTTTCATGTCAAATTTAATTGCTTTGATCTTCTTAGACACAGCAGGTACAGAGGGGCTGATTTTTAAGGCTCTTCGTAGTTGGCTAAACTTTTAGAGCATTAATATCTAACCTCTGCAGCAAAAAATATTCAGATAATTCTCCTCTGTTTGGCTAGATAGACACCTGTATTTAAAATAACCCTTAGAAGAAACTCAGGGTAGTCCTGTCAGAAGCCTAAAAGTAGATTACGAATTAAGAAATAACACAGATAACTACGCTAATTAACGATTTATTGTCTCAGTACCCTGATTTCTATCAAATTACGTTTATTTGAAATTTGCGTTGACCTTTTGATCGGCGTCGAGGATTTGCTCGTAAATTCGCTTATTACTATGAAAAATTTTTTTTGATCCATTCTAGATAACAACTCAAATGCTTGGCTTTTATCTTTATAGCTAATCGTTAACAGACATAGTCTTAAAGAACAACTCAAACTGTTTTCGACAATCTTTAGCTTGTAATGCGCGTCATCGAGGCCGCATTCAGTCATGGAATGGCCTTAATAACTTGAGTTTCTCTTGGTCATCATCTGCTAAACTTTGTTCATAGGCTAGCTTATAAAGAACGGTTGGTAAAAATATTTCAAAATACGAACGTACATGTAAGCGTTTCAGAGCTTCCAGCGCTCCTTTGAAATGCAGCTACGTCGTGCATTTCATTACCCAAGTCAAAGCAAACTAAACTCGTATGATTACACATCACTTTTACTTTTGAGCCAACCAAGAGTCTTTTTAAAAAGCTATCGAGGAAGAAAACTGTAAAATTAATGAGCTGTAAATAAGATAATAATTTTGATTTGCAATGTGTGAATTCTGACGCTTGGTTGGCAAGATAGGGAATTTAACAGGAAACCACCATGAAACGCATTGCAAGGTAAAGGTCTAAACTTCAATTAAAGATTGTCAAAATCTTGACTTGTTCCTTGGTTCCAGATTGCTTGTGGCGTAGATATACAACCTGTACTAAAGTTTTCCACAGGGATGGAGTGATTGTCGCCACGTATTTGAAGGTGGAAGGAGTTTATCGAATCATGGAACGTAAAGGAATTTGAATGAGAGGTGATGCTTGCCTTTGATAAACTACCGAAGCCATATCTATTTTGGTGACTAAGGTGTTTCAATCGTTCTTGAATTTCGTTTTCAAGAGCCTTTTCTACGAACTCACTCTCTTTTTTCCATTTCATTCGACGATTTTGAAACCAAACTCTGACCTGTTTCTCGGTGAGGCCGAGAGACAGGGCAATTTCAATCCTCCTCGTTCTACAAAGGTATCTGTTGAAGTGAAACTCCTTCTCCAGTTCTACCAGCTGTTTTGAGCTGTAGATGATCCGATTGAGCATTTTATCATCTTTTCCTTGTGTTGCACCTAAAGGAAAAGATTTTTTAGTTTCAATCATTACAACTGCATAAAACTTTGGTGACTCACACTTCGAGCAAATAGTACATTACTTTAAACAAATGCCCCCGCAGTATACAACTGACATGGATGCCTCCTTTTTTTTTAACTGAATTCGCTGTAATTTTATGGAGATAAATCTTTCACTTTGCTGTTAACAGTTAAACGTCTTTTGCATACAAGTTTGAATTAATGCGAAGAGTTCACTTGGAGTCTCTCGACCATAACAACACATTTTGGTATTCGTCGGATCAACATCTCACGGAAGGAAACGGCGTCGAGAAGGCTAAACAGATTTGCTGTGGCTAGCGTGTGGAGTGGGGTTATTTTTTAAGTGTGAAATACTTTGACTAATATGTTTTGGAAGAGAAATATATGTAATTATCATTGCATCCGGCTTGCAATGACAATGAGAAAGGTGCAGAGTAAAATTTATCTTCGATCGGAGAAGAACCATAAAGTCGTGTTTAATAGCTTCAATTTGTATAGTTGCTTGTAAGCTCGCCTGAATTGCCAAGGGACCAGATATAGAGCTTCTGTAAAGTTGAAGTTCATTGGAAGAGAGGTTCAAAGTGTATTATTGAGTAAGTAAAGTTTCACAACAGTCAGCACCACTTAAACTATTGATAATTAATGAAATCATGCAACAACACCCAAGAATGCACAGAGGAGTTGAGGTACGTTTTCAAACAGAGAAAGATTCAAGACTTACGGAATCAAATTGAACTTAAACGAAGTTAATCGATAAAATGATTGTTTTAATTCCGAAGGTAAACTTTGCTACATCAAAATTAAGCAAATCGAACTTTGCATGCGGCCGGGCATATGTTGCGTTCGGAATTCAATGCATTCGGAATGCAGCACAGAGCTATCCTTTAAATCACGAATACAAAACATTTCGTATAGGTGGATATTTTTCTGACAAATAGACTGTTCAAAAGTGATGAGGCCAAAATGCCCAAGAATCGACAATTTTGTGGTTAATTTCGATAGGTTAGAGTATTACAACTGCCCCGCACACCAAGCGGTAAGGGATTGCCATACCACACATTAGAACATGGCGTGTCTAGTGGTCTTTCATCATCTAGGGTAAGCGACAAGTCAAATGGTTCAGTTTGAAACACCACGGAGATTTAGCCATAACGTAAATATGAAAAATTTCTATTAAAAAGCTCATAGAGAAACAAACACGAGGATAAAATGAAATCCTTAAAGTCGTCTGATATTCATCCCTTCATATGCTCCCTTCATACTTGTTCTTAAGAGATGTTCTACGTCGTCAGCCGAGGTTTCACCACCACCTAAAAGAACCTTTTCGGGTAGTCCACTATCTATAAACTTATTTTAGCGAGCGAAATACTCTTAAAAGCCATCTTGCCTATGTAGTCTATGTTATAGCTCATTGTTTATGATACTTGGCCCTTGATTTTGGAAACATCTGCACAAATCAATATCATTTGCGCATAGAGGGGGTTGTTTTTCACCTCCACCCAACTCCCTGTTTATGCCAAGTTTAAGAACAAAAAATTTTTTACAGGCACCTCGTGAGCGAAATTCCTTCATCCATGGGTATATTTTATGGGCACTGTTTTCTCCTGTGGCATCTTTGTTTGGTAAGTTAGCTGCTTGGTTCTCCAATCGTTGGCACAAGCCCGACTCATCACAAGACGTCACACCCGACTCATCACTGTTGTTTTTTCTTTGACAGTGATCCTGATCCTTGCTTGCTTTCTGCATCATTCACTGTCCACACACTGCGCTTAATAGAAATAAGTCTCTGATAAAGGATTTTTTTTGTGTGACCTCTGCCTGTTTAGAGATCTGAACTCGCAAACATGTACTCAACTAGGGAAGCACTAGGTCGCGTGGGCGGTCGAGTAGGCGAACCGGAAGCTTTGATATCCTTACGACCTTTGTTCCGATTTATAGTGTAGTTTCTTTACGTTAAGTGATACGGTACTACTACTCATCAAAACATCCAATTGGATATTTGTATCGACCGTGCTGAAAATGATCGTGTTGTCGTATTCTTTCGTGCTGTCACGTGACAAGCACCTGTAATTAATTAAATGCGGTTTAGTTGCTCTGGTATGAAGCTGTGAATGTATTCATACCCTCGTAAAGAAAATGCTCTTGGAAGCGGAATCTCTTCTCAATTCATTTTGCCATACACTTTGCGCAAAAAAAGCAGTCAGGGAAAGTTAATCAATCGCTTTGACAAAGGAGCATTGCTCGAAACGTCATCTTAGGAACTCTTTACGGTGACAAATTTACGTTATTAACTCAGTTGATGAAAATGGATTATCTTGTAAAACCCTGAACAACACACTACCACGGTTTTTTTCCGAAAATTAGTCCCTTTAGTCAGTAAAAGGCACAGGTTTGCTCAACCTCGTTCCCAGACTCCCAGGATCTCTTTTTCTCCTGTCCGCTTGAAGGAAGGAACGAAACATCAAAGATTCGAGGTTATGCTCTGATGAGCATAGAGATCGTTCTTCCAACAGGGGTCAATCGATTAACCGCGCTCGGTTAGCTCATGCGGTAGAGCGCATGACTGCAGTGCGGCGGCGGAGGTCGTGGGTTCAAGACTCAGACCAGACTGACACTTAGGGTCTTATAATAATTGAGAAACTGAGGTTAAATTAAAAATCCACCATGTCAGAAATAAAATATCGCTTAGACGCTGGAGATATGATACACAGGTAAAAGAAATCGGAAAATTTTCAAATTTAATTTTTCATCTGTGTCAAACATTTAAATAAAGGAACAAATCACGAAAGATTTGTGTTAATATACGCGTTAATTTCGTTGGAAAGGGGATTTAAAATATCACGAATTAGCAAATAAGTTTGTAACTTTGATTAAGAAACCTTGGTATTTTCGCCGGATCATATCTGTCGAGTCTTGTGTCTACCAGTTCGGTATTGGGTCAGGTTAGAGCTTCTCAGATCATCTTGTCTTAGGCCAGAGCTATTGGTATAACAAGTTCTGGGATGATTTCGCAACGCCCATACACCCTCACTCTCTGATTTAAGCTATCAACCATCACAACTTTCTTCAAGGCTCTTCCAGAAATCCTCTTCTCTTTTTTTGTGTATTAATAAAGGAGTGGAAAAATGAAAGCATTCATCCAACAACACGAAACCGGAAAACCCGTTAATTATTGAAATATTAAACGACATTTATAGTCAGTGATTCACCTTTGCTTACAGGTCATGAAAACATTTTGTTATGATAATCTCTTTTTTACTTTCAAGAAAGCGTGGTTAAATTCCATTATTCACCACGTACTAGTTGCGGCTATTGTGTAAATATGTACCCAGAAAGCCATAGGGTCCCATCGTTCATTATAAACGCTATATTGAGTGTCAATGTTTTTGCAATCGAGTGTAAATTTTCGGTTATTCATGCGATTTTCACTGTGTTTTTTTGACGATTAAAGGTTACTTAATGTTTTTTAAAACGTCGTTCTTTTCTAATACACAACAGACTGATTCTCCCAGTTTTCAAATCCAGACACATTTTGAAATAACGTTAGCATTAATGCCGGAAGCCGCTTTACATGATCATTAAAAATTGTCGCTTAAATCAGAAAAACCTATGCTTTTTAGAAATTAGTCAATTGGCGTTATGCATATATTTAAAATAGTTTCGTTCTTGCTGGTTGAAATACAATGGATTATGAACGTCCAGTAGCAAGGTTACAAACAAGCAAAGGAAAACGAGACACTGGTCTGCATTTATCATGGACAGCATGAAGGAAGGCTATTGTTAGCAAATACAGTATCAGTTCTCATCTTGCCAGATTTTCGACAAAATGGTAATCGAATTATGACTAGTACAATAGAGTTCTAGTCTCAATTTATCAAGGAATTATATTTTATTCAGTAAGTTAATGCCAGTTTATTCGATCAGCAATTCCATGTCAATGTTTAAAAGGGACTTAGAGTCATATATTTCAAGTTTCTTCCAAAATGTTGATATATTTAGATATTTTCCTTTGGATATTTATACTTATGACACTTGCACCTAGGATAATTATCTTAGCCTTGTCTGTTGCTGCTGATAACATTTTGTTTAAGATTAATTTTTTTCTTAATTTCTCATTTATGATTTTTATAGACAGTCTTGAAAAGCAGTGCGAAAGAAGAGCTAGTCGATTTTTGGCTCCATATAAATGTATTTATTTATTTATACTTATGTGTCACCAAGTCAATTATTGCACTTAACACTTTAAACAATGACTGGAAACACCAATCGATCTGTCTGGGTTCAAACTGTAAGCTTTTTTTATTACATAATGTTCATCGGTGTATAGTCAGACTCGCTGACTGCATTTGACGATAATGTTCATCGGTGTGTAGTAAGACTCACTGACTGCATTTGGCGATTTCAGGTCAAATCAGTGAAACAAACCTGAACAAATACAACGCACACCCGAGGATTGAAGTTTTGAAAGCTTTTCTTGATATTGTCTTTTGTACTCGGAGTATACTCAGTCAAAGCAACTTAGTGTTTCAAACTTTATCGCCAGCTTTGACAATAAATCGAATTTTCCCCTAAAATTCAACCCGATCCGCAAGATGTTAGTGAGGTTTTTGATGTTTCAGGAGCCACAACTCCTCCCTCTTCCACCGGACACAAGGCACTAAGCTCCTTATTAATCGTTCAGATTAAAATTGACAACTTTTGTCTTCTAAGCCAATCAAAATATTTGAACTTATCTCATGCAAAATGCATGTGTGGAGGGATTGTAGGATTCTCTACCATAGACCATATAAATGTAAATCTATTAATGTTTGTCACGAACACCGCAATCTGATTGGCTACGCTACTCGCAATGTAACACGTGATAGACATGCAGTGAGTAGAGTCAGCAGCAAAAAAATGTGGGGTTGGGAACAAAATGAAATAAAACCATGAGCCTGATTACTTGTTAAATTTTGAACAGCCTTTAAATTTCTGCTAAAACCATAAGATTTTCGCATTCGATTCTTATGCGTGATGGTATTTGATCGGGCTTCGCCCTCATTCAATATCACGCGATAGAATCTCGAGCGCATAATCTGATTGCTAAGTAGAATTTTCCATGCTGTTTACTCAGGAAACAGCTAAAGGTCTCGGTAGACCGCTATGGAAACACTCAAGTAACACTCGTGTTGCCAGCTACACTTTTGCTTTCCTACTCTAACCACTTCCTGTGCTCTTCTTAATGAAACAAAGCACGTCACTGTTTCGCCTTTAAATGTGACAAAGATGCTCTGGAAACGCGAAAAAAGTTTTCCGAGTGCTGTAAGGTGGGCTTACGAAAAAACTGGGCGGTATAACGTCCGGGCACGGAGACTTATTAATGGGAGCGGCATCTTATTTGCCTTAAATTACTCTGCAACACAGAGCCACGACCGTGAACACAATATGTAAAAAACAAAAAAAAGGTCAAGCCAGCAATCTTTGGTCAAAAAAATGCACGAATTCATTCGATTTAAAAGTATTCTGGTTCAGACATAAGATTTACTTGAAAGATGTTAATAGCTGAGTGTATGTACGTAAATTTGCGACTTTTGAGATACTTGGAAACTCAACCGGATTGAGTTCGAGGTATGAAGACATCGTTAAAAGTTGAGCAGTAGCATAGTGCTGGGCATGACCGAAATTCGACTTCTTACATACCTTTGAGAAAGCCGACAATACGTATGCTTAATTGTGGGCTAAAATTAAGGTGAATTACAATCCCTCCGCTGGAAATGTTGTAAAGTAGGAATCGCCAGGGTGAATGGGGGTTTCTCGATAAGAAACATCTCGTATCTTTCAAGCTCCTAACTTGCAATCCATGCATGTTAATTTTTTTTATCTCTGTTGGTAACGACCTTCATTCCTGCATGTATAATTTTTTATTCAACTTTCGTTTTCGTTAATCTTGAAGTGAAAATAGGGACCTTAAGCAGTCAGGACGGCAACGCCAAAGAAGACTTCGACAAAATAATGAATTTCTGCCTTTAATTAGAATTTCAAAAATGGCTGCATGTGTTTACCGTCTCATACGGCGCCACACCTCAACTTCAGCATAACGTATAAAAGAAGCGTTGTTCCAAATGGAAATAAAAATAATTTGCCGTCGCGGTTTCGGTTCGCAGACGACGCAAATTGTGGCGATTTCACGTTGTCTTTTTGTCTAGGACGGCTAAGAAATGTGCAAAGTTTTAAAATGCATGTGCTGAGCTGTTATTCTTCCAATTAGATCTTTTGTTTTTCCATGTCCTCGTTGCCGTCACCGTCGTGGTTTACTTAGGGTCCCTAATGAGAGGTGAATACGGTACATTTGTGTATAACTAAGCATAAAGTTATTAAAGACGAGCTGAATATTAAATCTAGAATTGAAATGGTTCATTCAATTTCATGTGTATTATGCAATAGTGCGAATTAAACAGAACCTTTGATAAAAGCAACGTCACTGAAGAAGGAAAATGATTTTTCCTATGCGTTCTTCATCGTAAACAGAACCATAAACGCAACAAGATTAATGAGCTGTAAATTAGTTAATTGTAATTTACGAGGTGTGAATTCTGATGGGGAACCAAAGGAAACCCTAATCCCAAAACAGATGCTTAGTAATCACCAATGATCGTGTGTTCCTTGACTCCAGATCGCTTTCGGCTTGTCCAGATATCTTGCATCGTGCTTCAGATGCATTGGAACGGAGTATTGATTGATAGAATGCATCGATTTGTTAAGTGGAGACCCATTTGGTTGCACGTTTATCATATTCAACATGGATAACTGGCTACCGAAGGCATTTTGAGTGCTGAGTTGTCTCATTCGTTCCTGAATTTCATTCTCTAGAGCCTTCTCAACACATTCACTCTCTTTTTTCCATTTCATTCGACGATTTTGGAACCAAACTCTGACCTGTTTCTCGGTGAGTCCAAGCGACAGAGCGATTTCGATTCTCCGCGGTCTGCAAAGGTATCTGTTGAAATGAAACTCCTTCTCTAATTCTACCAGCTGTTTTGTGCTGTAGATGATTCGATTGAGTTTTCTGTCATCTTTCTCCTGCGCTGCTCCTAAACACAGAGATAGCAAAGTTGTAATTGTCGTTCGTGATTTTTCCTGTCAGATTGGTAGTACTAATTATAACAAAGCAGCCCCACCCTTGGACTCAAACAATAGGCTTCTGTTAGAGTCTGTTTGTCGTGGGTGCGATCCGTTTTACATGAAATACATCTTTATCTTTCGGTATTTTTATACGGCGTTTGAGTTACACAGGATCGGATATATCTCATCCTTTAGAATCAATGTATCTGCAGTAATTACTTGCAGTTTGCAAGCAGTTTCCACGGATCATGTTTAGTAGAACTGAGGTGTAATCTATATCTAATTTCATAAGCAGTCTTTCTTTTTGATGACATAAGTATATAAAAAGCTGCAAAAGGAAATTTCAGGGAAAGACGATTGTGAATAAAGCAAGTTTCAAAACGAAACATAACTACGCACACAAATCATTTGCATTCGGCTTGCAAAACAGAAGACCGAAATCCTTTCGGATAAATGTGTCATCAGCTGCGGAAGAAACACATTTCTGGAGAATTAACATAACGGTATAGCGAAAGCCTTGGTTGTTCCGACGCGGAGAAGAGCAAGAAGGCAAACTTCTGAATTATTCCCACAACTTAATAAAAAATAATACTTCATACAGGACAAATATGTAGACGGTAAGCACCGTTTAAGGTGTAGCATTTAGCGGCAACGAGGTTGATAATGAAAATATCGGCTATTAGATGTAATTTGCAAGCGCAATCGGTTTAAAGAGATGCCCGAAACACGCATAGACTGTTAAAACTGTAAATTATCATCATTTTGCCAATTTGTTGACATAACTTTGTTTTTATATAGCGTTTAAAAAGACATTTGTTTATGAAGCAGAGTCAAAAGCCGCACAAGAATGCAGAACTTCCAAAACCATAAGCGCACAAGCAGCAGAGAATGTCTCGTAAAATTTAACAGTCTGAAATTCATAATCTGGAGTTTATTTTCAATGCACAAGAAGGAACAATATGTCCGCCTCTAATGGCAAAAATACGTGTGAGCCGTTCATTGCACGCAAGTCGTGAGGCCTTCGGAATCATGGCCACGAATGGCAATGCCATTTGGCATGCAGCTCAACATGAGCAATCTGAATTGATCACGAAATGTAAAATATAGTCATATTAATGTGTCTCTCTCTAGCCACAAAATACAAACTCTTGGGAAAGAAAGGTCAAACAGTATAGAAGGCCATTTGTCGCCCTTCACAGCAAGAGGAAGGATTAAAACATATTTAAACATAGCGATCGAATGGATTCTTGTCCTGCGGACCGGCGCTAAAGACGTGTTGACCCTTTTGAGACAATAAGGGAATCAATATAAAGAGATCTATTCAGGTAAAATAAGCGTCTTCATTTCCTATAGAATAACAAAATTTTTCACATAGCCAGAATAGATAATTCGTTTTTACTCTAGCGCGCTTCGTTTCGGCCAAGAGACGGCTTCTAAACTCGGATCCTCACACAACCTCTTTGAGCATCAATCTCGAATTCCCTTTGAAAATGAAAGACGTTAGAGGTCTGCCTCTTTCGAAAAAGGGTTTCCAACAGCACGATGTTATGAATTAGTTAACAATTTGTGAAAATGTGGCTCCTACCTTCCGTTAGTGACGGACGAAGCTTCGTAACGAATCACCATGTTGTCCGGCGAAGAACCACAAGAGTTACGAACTAACACTCCTACTAATCCGCCACTTAGGAAGTTCACAGCGTGCAAACACTCCTCGACTACACTCAACCGCTGATTCACCTCTTTGTTCGCACGAATTCATTTCCGATTTTCTTAAACATTTCCGTAGAAATAAGTTGCACAAAGAATTGTTGTTTCAGACCTACGCCCACCCTCCCTGTTCCTGTTCACTCAATGACTATAGAAAGTGTCTACGGAACCGCCGTCTTACCTTTCGAGCGAAACTCCTTCATCCAGGGATATATCTCTTGAACACTGCTTCCCGCTGAGTCGTCTTTTGGTAAACTATCAGCTGCCTCATTCTCAAAACCAGGAGTGACATCATGGATTGAGCCGAACTCTTTTCCTGTGGCGTTTTTACCTTGGCAACACTGCTTGCTTGCTCTTTCCATCATTCGCTGTCCCCGAACAGTTGCGGTAATGAGCAAGACAGATGTTTTCCGAAATGAGATAGCATCAGAGCTTAGTGTTTTTTTTTTCTTTGACCTTTACATCAAAACAAATTCTTATACAGTCATTCAGTTAACGAGACAGGTCCCAGGTCGCGCGCATGCGGTCGAATGAACACTCTGCAAACCGGTTGATCCTCTGACTACCTTTGGAAGACACGTCACATTAGTGTGGTTTTTTATTGATTTCGCCAGTTTGTGGAAATTGTTTGTTGAACTCAAACGTTAGCTATGGAGTGGGAAAGCTGAGGTAACCTCAGAATGAATAAAAGCACTTTGAGAAAATGGCTTTGTCCAGACATCGTGAATAATTTTCGTTCAATTTTTGGTTTGGTCAAATAAATCGAGGCTAGATTTACCTTCTGTCTGAAGTCAGTCTCTATCTCTTTAGTTCTCATTAGTCTGCTACAAGTTTGCATTTCAGGCTTAATTTTGCTTAATTTTAAGTCCAACACTAATATGAGAATCCTAGAGAAAACTGACCCCAAACTGAGACACTAGAGTAACAGAATCACCACAAACATCAATATCAACCACAATAATAACAACAACCATACAACAACCATAAGAATGAAGAAATTTATAATATGACAAAAGAGAGAGAAAAAAGTAGGAAAGTAATCTTAGCCACGAATCATCTTTGTATGCAATTGTAGAAGAGGCCTGAAGAAAGCTGCAGGTTAATTTTAGCCTAATTCCATAGAAATGTAAACATGTATTGGTGATTCGCGAAGGAGATTGCTTCGTCACTTTAGCTGCATAGCAAATGTCGTCAAAATTTAGAGCCAAACTCCTGACTTTTTTATTGTCAATTTTCTGTCAACTTCGAGCATTCAACAACAACAAATAACTTCTGGTTCCAAAATATATTACTATAACATAAAACCTAAAAATATTCATCCATTTAAATAAATATGCAAGACGCAATTGCACGTACAAACTAATAATTGGCAACATAATGACCAAACTTTCACGTTGTCTAGAAACGTTGTGTTCAACAAAATGCATGAATGAAAGAATGTAAAAGAATTATTGGGCGGGTATTCGAAATTCATTCTGCAATAAAATTTTTCGTTGTAGGCATTTACATCACCTACGAGAACAAAGTCTGATTGCAACGAGAAGCAAACAAAGCATCTAACTTGACCTATAATTGAGCAATGGTCGATAATCGAAAGTACTGTCCATTAGCTCGTTGAAGCTCGAATCCCAAACGTTGCAACTTACGTGTTCTTTAACTTAGCTACAGTTTTTTTTTACAGAAAGAGCAACAACTAATGCCGGGATAGAACCCACAAGGTGTTAAAAACTACTTCACAACCGGAATTAATTTTATCGCATTTGCTCCCTGTGTGATGTCCTTGCCATAGATAAGGACAGAAAAAGAAGAGTTGAAAAGACCTGATATCAAACAAATTCTGTTTTAGCATTGCACGTGAAAGGCAATAAATGAAGGGGGTACTAGCTTACAAAAGGTTAAGAAGAGAAGCTCACAGAACATTAACTCAAATGAACTATTCATTTGCTTTTAGACTAACCCGAATTTAAACTGACATCATTTCACAACGGAAATAAATAAATATCGCTCGCTACAAAACCACGAGTCTCTCTAACAGGAACGAAATAAATTTATAAACTGTAAATAGCATAAGAATTATGACTCATTCTCAAAGTGTTAATTCTCTCTCTCGGTGGGCGAAATATCGCTCACGAGGTTGTCAAAAAAATGTACAACAGGAAGCCAGCATCTAACGGCGGCTGCGCTGATAATTGATAATTACTAAAAATGTTGTAATGGTCCTTGACTCCATATCGCCCTTGGCCTTTCCATGAATCCTCCTCCATTGTAGTTTTGCATTGGAGTAGAATACGGATTGTAGTTTCGCTGAAAAGAGTTTGATTCGTTGAAAACAGACGAATTAGGGTGTGAATTTAAGTTCATTAATGATAAACTGCCGAAACCGTTTGGATTTTGTGCACTAAGTTGTCGAACTCGTTCTTGAATCTCATTTTCCAAGGCTTTCTCGACACTTTTGTTCTCTTTTTTCCATTTCATTCTGCGGTTCTGAAACCAGATCTTCACCTGCTTTTCGGTGAGTCCGAGCGTCTGAGCAATTTCGATTCTACGCGGTCTACAAAGATATCTGTTGTAGTGGAATTCCTTCTCCAACTCAACCAACTGTCTTGTACTGTATATGGTTCGGTTAAGTTTATCATCACCAGCTTTCTCTTGTGGTGCTCCTGTAAACAAAGAAATATCTATAATTTTGATTGTAAGTGAAAGAAAATTTAGATTACCTGGTTAGGTGCATTGGGACGAAAATGATAACCTTTGAGAGAACTACACTTCGAATACTGATCAACCAAAGTCAACAAGAACAGTCCTGTATTACCAGTCTCATTTTCATCTTGCATATCAATACACAAAATGCATCTTGTCCTCTCGGTAATATATATTCAATTATTGCAATGAAGACCTCTTAAAGTAAAACCTTGATTTAATGGCATAGCTTTTACTAGAGTTTCACGACAATTCTAAAACCGTAAATCACAAAGATTGTTCTACTCCGGAAATACTTGCAATTGAATTTTATCGCTAATTCTTCGCTAGCTCATGAACTAGGTTTAAGTTCAATACCTTCTAATTAAAGTATCAGTTCAGTGCATTGTTATAGATGTAAGCAAATGACTTCCTTTTATCCGAGTTATCAAACAAAACTAGCAACAAAGTGGAGAAGTATGAAACAACGCTTGATGTAAAAAATAGAGAATCGATGCTTCGGAATTTTTGGCTGAGAACGTGTCTTCATTTTTTAAAATCTCAACCACGGCTTTTTACGAGAGAAAGGCGAATTCACAACATACATCTAGGTTTTAGTCAAGGCGAAATAAAGAATACTGTTGAGTGCCCAATCTCGCGATATTTTGTCTTTTCCTAACGGAATTGATATGAAATATTTCGAGTCGAAGAAAGTACAAACGCAAATTCGACGGCACTGAATTAATTCCAGTACGATTTTTAGGCAGAATTACTCGCTTACGAAGAGTACAAGATTATGGCCTGGCATAGGATGATAGCCAACTTCTTAGTACAATACGATATAATTTTCAGGAGTTTTGTTCAAATTAATGGAACCGCTCGTTTAAATACATGCGATGCCCTCGGGATGCAATGGGGTATGCATAAAAACACACTAAATCAAAAATATCGTCGCATTAGTAGATCTCAAAACGCAAAATTCTGGGGGAAGGAAGGCAAAAGTATCTGAGAAGAGACTGTTTTGTGGTTAATTACGACAGGTCGGAGACTTACAAAACGATTTGTTGCCCCGCACAGCAAGCGAGAAGGGATTACCACACATTTGAACATGGCGTATCAATTGGTCTTTTTCCTTCTGGCGCCAACGACGTGTTAAGGCTTCGAAACACCACAGAAAATTGTCTTAGCATAACAAAACGACGCTATCAATTCTCTTTTACAAGATCTATCCGGTAGAATAACTGGAATTGTTTGTTAAGGATCAGAAATAGTACGGTTCGCACCTTCGAATGGCGGAGCAAACTGCTTCACAATGGAGAAGCGCCATGCTGGCGAGCCCATTCTTGGAGCCATTCTTTTCCGCTAATCCACAATTAAAGAACTTAACACGAAACAAACACTCTTCAACCAAACCTATTTCATGCGTTTCCACATCTTTCGCAAGATTTGGTTTTCAATTTTTAAAAAATCACAACAGAAATCGGCTTTGCGACGAAAGGGTTGTTTTTGACCTCCGCCCACTTGCGAAGGTATCGTTTAAGTTTAGGACAAAAATCACCTACAACTACTATACGTTTCTTTGTACCTTTTGAGCGAAATTCCTTCATCCAAGGGTAAATTTCTTGAAGGCCGTTTTCAGTGGATGCATTTTGTGCCGGTAATTCAGTGGCATCATCATCCAAGCGCTCGCATGAGCTGCACAAGTTAGGGGAAGATGTCTCATCGGACTCCGCGCCGTGGTCGTTTTTTCCTTGGCAACGCTCTGTATTTGCCTTCTGCATATTCACTGTCCACACACCGGGCTTTTAAATACGGGTCTTGAAGAAGATGAATTTGTTTTTGATAGTAGACAATACAAAGTTGACCAGTTTTTTGACCTCTGTACTAAAATCGATCCCTGCTGTTGACAAGACTCAATAGGTAAAAGTCATATTATTGTCCTAGCTCCAACAACTAAAGAAAGAAAGATGTATTATCTTTGAGCACGTGATTCGCCGTGAACCAATCAAACTGCTTAGAGGTGCCTCGAGATTTCACTTATGGCATGTAACGAGATACACAAAGAGTTGAGAGATTTTTTCCGAGTAATTCATCATTTTCGACAAGCCGTCGTTTTTTGAAGGTATTTACAGATGCCATGAGCGGAAACATAAATCTTCTTAACAGTCGGAACAGTTTGAACGCTGTACTATTTAATGCAGCTTGTCTTATCTCGTGAAAATGATGTTTCCTTTTAATTCTACGTATACACAATCGTACAAATTCTGTAACATAAATTTCTTGAAACTCAACCCAGGAGCTTCCGTTGAAAAGGGGTTAATAGCAATACAAATTTCTTAAGTCTGTTAGCGAGTTAATCTTTGCTAAGCTCTTGTTAAAAACTTGAGTTTTCAATAGCTTTTGTAAACAGAAATAAGGAGTTTAGTGGAAGGAAATCAAATTCAAAGATTCAGTCATGTGGAGTCTTGTACGTGTTTGTTGTCTGCCTTCGCGTAGTTTGGTTTGATACCTCATCGATCAAACAGAATTTTCTGTCAAAACACAGACTCATTTGCCGCTTGCTCTGGTAATTTTATCAAAACCTTTTCCTATGTAACAAATGCTATGTCGTTGTGGTTCTAGATATGCAAGGGTGCTTTTAAGAAGCTCCGAATAAGTGAAAATGAGCTTCATGAAAAATCAGATTAAGCGGCTTACAAAACATTGTTCAAGTTTTGTTTTGCTTCTGAGAGAAATGCTGTTTTCTGATTTAATGCAGAAGTTGGATGTTATTTGTCTGAAGGAGAATGGAAATTCTAACGAACGCCTAAGTTGCGTACACACTTTCGAATCCAGAAACAAGCCTATTATTTGGTATGATATGGTGTTTTTCAGTGTCTAAATCCTCGAAGACAGCCACTGGCATAATTGATTATCACTTATTAACCAACTAAGCCGATGAGCACTTATCTCCCGCTGTTACGGTCTTTAACCAGGATTAATGACCTGTACATTTTTTACAGTAATTTTGGGATGAAATGCCATAATCACAA